TGTTTTGCTTTTTTGTCATACTATTAACTGACTGAACACGTTAGGATGTGATTAGTTAATCGTGTCTTAAGTGTCATGTCTGCCCAGGGCCTATAAGAGAGCCGGGCTGCAGGGCTGAAGGCATGGATTAGTCTCCATGCCCAGTCAGAAATAACAATTTTTATAGTAGATATCTATTCACTAAGAGTTGTGCTAGGATTTAATACCAAATGTTAGAGATGTGGTAAAAGTTACCAGTCACTACTTATCAGAATCAAATCAATAACCAAGAGGCTTTACACTCCAGTGCTTCTCTAATTCCTTAGACCAACCTTTGTGGCTGTTTACAAATTAATCAGAGGGGATCAGCAGGCACTGGGGGAGTCCCTGTTCCGCCGAGCACTACCAGGAGTGACTAGAAATAACGGACACAAGCTGGTAGAGGGTAAATTCTGATTAGACATCAGGAGGTGCTACTTCACTGTCAGGGTGGCTAGGATCTGGATCCAACTTCCAAGCAAAGTGGTGCTGGCTCCTACCCTGGGGGTCTTTAAGACAAGGCTAGACAATCACCTTGCTGGGGTCATTTGACCCCAGTACTCTTTCCTGCCATAGCAGGGGGTCGGACCTGATGACCTGCTCAGGTCCCTTCCGACCCTACTAACTATGAAATTATTAGAAAGTATGTCCTCTCTTTTGGGAAACCGTGCCCTAAACTATCCCTGCTCCCATTTTTAAATACAAAAACATATTACACAACCTTGCTATGTTTTACTCACCTTCTAGTAGTGAATGCATGTGAACAACCACTTTCTCTCTGCTGGGAGGAATAAGAAATCCATTTTTCTAGGGAAAGATTTTATTTTTTCCCTAAAAAAAGTTGATAAAGATGGTCACATTGGACTCTATTTTTAAAGATAATTCAGGTCTGCTCAGTATTGCCAGAGCTGACTGCCTTAAGAGCCAAAATCTGTAAAATGGGGATAATGGTAGCCTATTCCAGGGATAAAGCATGGATGAATATATATAAAAGACTGAGGCATCCAGGTATAAGGACTGATGTATTGATAGCTAGATAGCCTTATTTTCTCCCTACTTGATCACAAGAATTTCTATACTAAATTGTAACTGCAAATTTACAGTTTGTGTCAAATGCATCACATAAAATAAAGTATGACTGATGAATATTATAAACTGAGTTTATACATTTCTTCTTTTTTTAAGATTTGGATTACATAATAGAGCAGAACTGCATTTGGTGATGTAATGTTTCAGGAAAAGCTGGAAACATGCATCAAAAGCACTTCGCTAAGCTATCTTTATCATTTCTGTAGTCCATACCATAGGTGGTGACTCACAAAAGGAGCAACTTAGGGAAGCACTAGCAAAACCACACAGTAGGTCATTTTTTTATTTGTATGCTATGCTTCTCAAATACAAAATGCATGGGATTTCAGAAAAAGCAGCACGAAGGGGAAACCAGTCTTTTTTTTCTAAAGCTATTAGCATTGGCTATGGCCATCATCCAGAAAACAAAGGTCACCCAAGGTGCTTCTGCTGACTGCCTCAGCTGAGCACTCTTAAGAACAGACGGCAAGGCTGTCTTCTTGTATGACCCCTAGCTATGAGACTTACTCCCTCTAGTGGTTTGTCTCAGTCTCAGTTCACCAGCCCCCAGAGTAGGTACAAGGTTCATCTGATCAGACAAACAGTTACTGAAGAGGTCTAAATAAAGCATTGTCTTTTCTTTCCCTGATCTTTTGACAGGTAGATGTTTATTTTGGAAAGACCAAAACTGATTTTTCATTGGGAGCAGGTCAAAAAAGATATTTGTTTTTACCTGTGATTTCAGGGCAAGGTGCACCCCAAAAGCTTATTGAAATGAAATAACAACATCCAAGTCAGCTGTGAAACTTCTGTTATGGTCCTGAGAAAAACTGTTGTCTGCCAAGGACTGAGTACATTCCTCTTTGAGCAAAATTCTTTGCAGGAGGTGAAGAAAAGGTAAGTTCACTCTTTGTGGATGGGTTGCTTTTGTGCAGAAAAAGGTCACTGCTTTGCTATTGCCCACCTTTGTGTTGATTTGCCTGGAGATTTTTTTATTTATTTTTAACTGTCTTGTAAGGAGCCTGAAGCCTGGACAAAATATTTTTTATGTCCATGTATTGAAATCAAAATAAGAAAATTAAAAATAACCCAAATTTGTACACTGGGAATATACTATAATTCTAATGTCTGGTTTATCTATCATGAAAGAGAACTCAAGTACTACTGGCTTATCAAAGCATCTGACAACACTGACACAAAACCTTTTCCCCTTGATTAGGAGAGCTGTGTTCAAAATTAAATTATATACTATGTATTGACTGTGGTTCATTTTTCGAGGTACTGTAAAACAGATGACTACTCCCCCCTCTGAAACTCAATGTCTCACGTTGTAGAGGATGAGAAGTAATTTCCTACATGAGGCAGTCATTCAGCAGTTTTTGCTTAATTTAACAAGATCCCCAGAGGTATACTTGACTACAGGTGGTGATTATGAGGACATGTAAATGATTAATGTGACATTAATTACTCTGTCTTGAATTTAATATAAAAATAATATTAAGAATTATAAAAATATAAAGAATTACTATTAAGAAAGAATTCTAAGTATGATAACAAATACTGACAGTAGGGAACAGAATCATAGAAAATAGGGCTGGAAGGGATCAAATCCCTGCTCAGTACAGGATTGGCTGTGTTCAAACAATCCCCAAATCCAGTAATACAGATAAAGTTTGAACTCACAACCTTGGCACCCCGTTTCCCCAGCCTGCTCTACAAGTACCACACACTTACCAACTGCACCTAAGGAATCCTCAATCCAGTATTACTTCAATTTTACCTATAGGCTCCACTTCACAACCAACATCCCTGAGAAGCCTCAGACTATCAGTGTTTTGGTTAACAGTCAAATGCACTGACCTGTTGAACCACAGAGATATCAGGCAGAACTTTTCCAGATATAACAGACTTGTTTTTGACTGAGTCTCAAATATCTATCTATAAACAACTGACAGTATGACCCTAAAGAGTGGTCAAGATCAAAGGGGCATTTGAAATGCTTGGTTTTGGGAGAAGAAATTCAGAAACAGCTCCAGAGCTTGACAAAGGGAGACATTAGTAGATATGGGAAAAAACTGGACATTGTACAGAGGAAGTGGAAGACACAGATGTTACATGTTTCCTCCCAGAACCTAGTCCCATCTCACACTTAGTATAAAAAATGTTTACAGACTATAAAGGGCTCAGGTCTAGAAAGAAAGCAGAAGTGGACCTTGAAACTACGAGCCCATCCTGGACAGGCTAAGAGTCTGGGGATATAATTAAACCAATATAGACAAAATCAGGGGTGTCAAACTCATTTGGCACTGCATGCGGAATCTCGATGACAGGGCTTCCCACATGCTGGACAACCCATGAGCAACAGCAGCATTAATCCTTGCAGCTGTCAGACCCACTATGTCAACACAGCTCCACTGTCACTTGTCATTTGCCCCTTCCCTTTCCCCTGCTACTCATCTTAGCTGCCAGGGTAACTAAAAACCCCAATTTCAGCAGCATGTAAGGGGGAAGGAAACTAACAGTGTTAACTCCCTGGGTTCCAGAGCAGCACTGGAACAGCATCTTCAGTAGCTGGGAGGATTAACATTGCTGCTAAAGAGGCTTCAAGAACCACAGCATGGAGGACTGCAGGCTGAATCCAGCTCATAGAGATGGGTGGTCCAGCCCACAAGAAGCTCTGCAGGCTAGATGGCCCACCTCCATGGGTCACATACAACCCACAGGCTTATTTTTGACACCCCTGTTCTAGATCAATACAGGCTTGCTACTCATGCTATATGTCGCATGTCCTTATCAACCTTGACTCTTGCCAAACAGTGATATAGGACTATGGCCCAGCCTACACATGGAGAGAAAGGCATGACTGGATCTAACACATGATCCACATAACTGCATATTAGAATCAATTGCATTTTATTGTCGGTGTATGGGGAGCCTGATCCTGGGCCTCTGTCTTCATCTGAAAGAAGCTGGCACCCACGGCTGGGAGCCCACTTTGCTGGGCTGATGGGGGTTCTGGGACCTGCAGCTCATGAGGCTGTGGGTCCTGCAGCTTACAGAGCTCTAGGTTCCAGCTGTATGTGAGGCACAGGCATGACCCAGAGCCCCATGAGCTGCAGGATTCTTGGTCCTGGCTGTGGATGAAGTGCACAGCCAGGACCAAGACCTCTGTGTTGACCTTGCAGTTTCACGTGCCCCGGAGCCTTGGGGATCACACAGACATGATCCCTAGGACTTGGGGACTGGACCCCTGTGGCTGGGAGCCCGGTCAGCTGATGGGACTCCTAGCTACTGGGGAGGCTCTGCTACATGTTCAAATTAAAGCTCAGTAGTAACCATCTTAGTACACATTTAGTACACATTTTCAAGGTTTAACTTTATAGCTGGTTGGAGCTTTTTATTGTATGATACCTACTTTGCACGTGTAGCTGATCTCAAGGTAATTGTGCAATTAACCAGTTAACTGCACAATCCCAGTAACATATGGAGGGGGCCTACATGTTATGCAGTGTCTCTTTTGATCTTCTCTGTGTTTTCTCTTTGTTGATTTAATTAGATATTTTGAGTCTTTGCTGTGAGGTAAGGTCACAGTAAAAGTTTTAACTTCCTGACCTCTTGAGAGACCACCAGGGAAGCAACAAAAACTATCATAGTGCACAAGGCTGAGGCAATTACTACTCAGCCCAAATACTGGCTAAAAAAAAGACACAGAATATGCAATGGGCCTTGAGGAGTAGCAGGAAAATGGGAATCAAAGGTTACACTTTCCATGAGGTAACCGTTATATTTTTTAGGCAATGTATTATTTCCGACATAGGTAACAACTGAGTCACACAAAAGCCTGTTGAAATCCAAGGGGTCAATATTTTACACTGTGTTGGTTCTACTTTTTAGTAATAAAATGGCAGTCTTACCTCTTCCGCAAAGTTAGTTTTCTTGTCTAGCATTTCTCGTAATGTCTGAAGAATTTTAATGCAGAGCTTTTCTTCTTTCTCCATTAGCTTCTTTGTGTGATTAATCAACCTTGAAGTAAAAGATTAAACCTCAAAGAATACTGCATATTGTCTTCAAACCCTCCAACATTTGCTTTATGCAAAAACTCCCTGTTGCTATATCTTTCCTCAGGGAAATAAAAACAGACAGATAATGAAACTGGGCCTCTGTTAGCTGTTCAAGGTGTTTGGAGTTCTGTGTTCAATTTAACTGTTGGTGTCAAAGTACTGGGCAGAATGATACATCCAAATGCATCCACACTGTGAGGGAGTTCAAAGTCCAGCCACAGATCTAAATTCTGCCATTTTGTTTTCTCTTTATTTAAAAGTACTGCAATACCAGAGGTGCCCAGCATTTAGTGTATAAACTTTCAACCTTGTAGGAGCAATCATCCATATTTTACAATTTCAGTATGGCTTCCATCCAAAAGAATCCAAATACATTTCATAAACCTTATACTGGAATTGCTTTGTTCAGCATAGAAATGCAGACCTCTGGATGGAACACAACACTTGTTTAAGGACACACAGCGACTTTACAAGACAATTTAGGTAATTTGTTGGCAAGATCAACCTCATGTCTGGAAGTTTAGCAGAGCTTCAAGGGTTGGGTTATAATACCACCAGTGAACAATCTAAGGGGTTTACCTTACAGATGGTTGGCAGGTACTGCCCTAAGGACAACCTTACAGCTGACCCTAGCTATCAAGGTGAAAATTGTCTGTATCCCCTAGCATACTGGTGAGTTCAGAATTAGCATCACTTCCTGAAATATGGTGGGTTTTCAACAGAGATTGTCCACTCAAATGCTAACCAAGCCCAAGAAATATGAAAAAGCCACAAGTTATATGATATTAATAATAATTTTAAATGACTACATATTAATAATGGTACTGATAAAGTATTGCAGAACAATACACAACTCCCTACACAACAGGAGTTCTCTGTAAAAATACATATTTATTGCATACCATATCTTCCAACCTCTATTTTATTAAAGCTCTCACTGGCTTTCAATGGCATTTTGAACAGAAAGGGAAAAATGGTACAAAATTAAGTTCTGTTACTGGTGCAGAATATGCAAAAAGCTGAGGAATAAGGAAAGCTGCCAAATTTGTATGGTGCCCTAAGTTACCTCTCTTTAAATTATAGAGTTCCTCAGGGGCAGGTAGGGCATCTCACTAGAGGAACAATTAAGTAAAATTGAAAGGCTCTGTATTCCAATACTCAAACTGCAAATAAAACCTCTTACAATTTCAAAGCATGTAGGGATGCCAGCTAAATGCACTTTAAAAAGAGCTATGCAGAGTTTACAATTTAAAATAAAAACCAAAGGATTTATTTACTTTATCTCGAACTATAGCTCTGACTACCCAAAATGATTATGCAAAATCTTAGACTGAAATGTACTTGGACACAATTTAATACAAACAGAAATTAGGAAAACAGAAATGTCCTGGGACAGTATTAGCTTTAGCAGACCATAATGGTTTAAATTTGAATCATATATTGCACAGAACACCTCACTACTGCTACAGGCAGAGAAACTAAATAACAAAACTAATCAGCATAGGGTGAAACCTGCACTTCCTAAGTACCCAAGTAACTTAATGGAAAAGGGGCCTTAAATACTTTTGAAAATGTGACTGTTTGTCATTCTTTCTAAAGGAAGGAGGAGAACTCTGCATACCACTTACTTCGACATGAATGCACCACACCTTATCCTAGCATCACTCCCCTCAGGAAATAGCAGCTCTGGGCTGTGCAGTACATCAACGAGCACTGAGAATTCAGCCTGCATCATAGGAGTGAACTGCTGCTCCAAGGCAGACACTACATCCTGTAGAATAAAGTAGGAGGAGAAAGTTGGTAATAAATACAGCTGGTCAAGTAATACCTGGAATGCTTTACCTGCTGAGTTTCATAATGTTATGCGAGTAATAGATCTGATGGACATTTTTTGTCCTGTCTCTGACTGGCTCATAATGACAGCTTTCACTGCCTACTTCTTAATTTTTCAAATAAGCTTCTGAATGCTTCCTTCCATGCTGCTCCTCAAACTGAGGAACAACTCCTCATGAAAACCCTCCTCATTGCCCCCTTCCAAAACCCCCCTTTCTCATTGTGCCTATGGAAATGTTAACGATGCTCAGGAAGCCGATAGGTTAAAAATGCCATCTGTTATGTCAAACAAAACTCTCTTATCATTTCCCTGCACTATTCCCTCCATGTGTCTGTATCCACCTGTGGTCTCTTGTCTTATATTATAAGCGCCTTGAGCACAGAATGTCCCTACAACAAGCACAGTTCATACTACAAGATGATCCAAGAGGATAGAGCTGGCTCCTTCGCTACACTTCTCCTCTTTACACCTGAAATAGCAGGGATTACCGTGAGAAAAGAGGCATGCTCTGCTTTCCATGTTCCATGGTAATTATAATAATCCCTTGGGGAAGACTCTTATAGATTCCTCAGGGATTGGATCAGGTCATGGAAAAAGAAGGCCCAATATACTGGCTGTCCTCTGAAAAGAGGCACAGTGGAGTTTTTGGTTGAGTACATCTCACCTTTATTGGTGCTAGTCACAATGCAGCGCTAAGACTGCAATTAATTACTTTGTTTTCTGCTTAGTTTCCTATGCATAACTTATTCATAAAAATGTACTGTCACATGCTCAATATAAAGCACTTGCCACCATACCTGCAGTTTTTCAATGATATTCCTGTAATCCCAGGAAGGTCCTCCAAGAGCTTCTTTGAAACGAGGTCCACTGCGGGCAGACATTCTCCATCCCATGGCTGCTCTCTGGACCATATTAGAGTGACTCTTCATGAACAGGGTATTTACTTGGCTGTCCAAATCCACTGGAATTGCAGTGCCCCGGTTCTTTGCTTTAAGCAGAAGATATTTACAAAATGACGGAAGCTTTAGGATCCTTTGCAAACCATCCTAAGTGAATTCCTGACCTGACCAAAGTTAATGAGAGTTTTTTGCCACTGACTTGAAAGGGGTCAGAATTTAGCCTTTTAAGAATAAGGAGCTAAACCCCACAGTGACATAAAGCAGTGCAGCAATATTTTGAGTTAAAGAGTTACACCAGCTGGGGACTTGGTCCAAGATTACTTATATATCACAGATAGGCCTTAGCTTATTCACTTGTAGCACTATGAAGTACCATAGCTGCAGCTCTACTTCCTATATGCTGCCAAGGAACAAGATGCTATTCCTCTCTTCCCTTTAAGAGGGGGAAAGGTAATAAAGTACTCTGGGATGCTGAGGGTCAGATAGATCCTTTATAACTGTCCACAGGTTACATGTGGCACTACAAATGGTTATGCTACACAGAAGTTGCTGTTTAAAACAGGAACTCCTTTGAGGCAGATCCACTATTTCTGTAGTGATACAGACAGCATAAGCATCTGGGGTCCTTTACTTTTTGTAGCACTACAAGGGCCAACATAGTGCAACAAATGTATTGTATGTCCAAGGCCATACAGATATTTTTCTGCTTTAAAAAGAATGATTTCAAACCACATTATAGTTACAGAAATATTAGTAAAAGCAGTAAGTTTTATGTAATTCTACTGAAAGAACTTGATAAACCAAGTAAGTACAAGCATACACAAAAACAGATAAACATAAGGGGATCGAGCTTCATCTTTCTTCTCATTCTCCTATCCTGCATGTTACCATAATGTACAATGCTTAGGCCAATAGTGTCCGACAGAGTAAATCCTCCTAGACACAGTGTGTCCGGGAATCACAGGCTTCAAGATATTACAGAATCCTCATTCATTGCTTGGGTTCCTAGATGCTAACTGCAATAAAAATGATAATTAATAAGCAGCTGAAAAACTGTGCCTTTGGCAAATCCAGGAGAAAAAACTGATTTCCAGATTGAGAAAGTATGAGAAAGAGTACAGAAAGTCTTGCAACAACTTCTACAAGATATCAACAATTAACTTGCTATCTTGTTCAATTTGTGTGCTGAAAGGTCTTTTTACAGTGGGTTTAAAGCTGTAAAAGGCAGGGTAAATTTGCACCTTATCAACTAACTAAATCAGAAATGTACAGCAGAATCTTTCAGGATCCCAAGATCACTTCACCAGATGCTGCCATAGTTAGTTTTGATTTGATTTGATAGTTTCTCTTCCATGAAAGAAATTTGTATTTACTATATATCTCCCTCCTGCAGTAGACCAAAGTGGCACACTTAAATGTCAGTATAAGATACTGTGTTTGAGATAAACACAACAACAGTGGGCAGGTACTTCAGTGCCTAAAGGCTCATGCTCACAGAACCTTTCTGAGCCCACAAGTCCTATACTGCAACAGCAGCACTTGGAATAAACTCATGTCCTAACACAAAACTTGATTTTGTGCCAATGATCCCCTAAGTAGAAGCAAGAATGCTCTGCCTTCCATGTCCCCATTAGGGCAGAATTCTATTGTCTTGAAGAGGATTCTGCAAGAATATCCTGATAGCGATGCCTGGAGAACAGGCAGCAGAATCTACCTGGTGCAGCAGGTACAACTGTCCAAACTGAATAGTTTTCTAGTTCTGATAGATACTTTTTTTAAAAAGCTTGCTTAGGGGAATTAAAGAGTGGTATTCAGCTAAAAATGGGCAGATGCATTTCCCAACAGCTGCATAGCCCATCACTGCCAGTGTCAAAAGAAGCTATTTCCACATGGCAGCCCTGCTGCTCCCTCCCAGCTTCTATTTGTTTTGGAGGTGGGGGCCATGATTGTTAAGAGAAAAACACAGTGTATGACTGGCCATTATTTCTAATTATTGTTTCTACATGTTATTCTACTGGATTATTTCTCACAATGTATTTGCACTGTTGCTGCTTACTTTATTACAGAAATCCACTAAGGATACGCTAGTGTTGGTCAGTAGCTGTGGCCTATTAATCTAATTATGTCAATCACCAGAATGTTGCAGGACAACTCTTATTTCTCAATTAAATGTTATGTATGCTGAATTCCAATATTTCCCGGAATAAATTTAGCAACAGCAGGGCATACTGTGCAGAAAGACCCAGAGTTCTGCATCCCTATACATATTTTTTTAAGTTACTGATTTCTATCAGTGTCTAAGTAGCAGTCAAGGACTATGATTGTTCAGAGGATTGCAGCTAATTAAAAGTATCACAAAGAAATGCAGAAAAAATGCTCCTTTGTTTTGAACAGTTCTTATATGTATAATTCCATTTGTAATTAAGATTTGTACTGACTGTCAAAAGGCACTGTTGAAGTCTAAGCTATAAACAAAGGCTTTGTTTTCTCATTCCCTTGTAGCTTGTAGAAAGTTTATCTTTCATTTGTTTCATATTTCATTATTTAAAACAACAGGAAACATATTTTTACATTTCAGAAAGGTGATGAACAAATGTAACATAAATATTTATTTTTAATTTAGGTGTTGTAGGTTGCTTCTCTCTTCAAAATGTCTCAATTTTCCTTAAAGTAAGAAAATAAAAAATTTAAGAGCAAGTTTTATTTTTGCTCCACTTTGGAATAGTTTTGCAAGGCAGGCAAACAACTTGCAAAGTAGGCCTATAATCTAAAGAAGATGGGGCCAAAGCAGGTTAAATTGCGTCCTTGATTTGACTGGTATGTCAGGAGGAAAAAATGCCGCACAACTACGTCACTTAAGTATCCAATCAGAATCTTACCATCATGGACTAGAACATATGCTTAGTTAGTGAAATTAATGATGGTGAAGAGAGTTAAGCAAAGGATTATCTACCTCCTAAATTTTCAAATCTTCCACCACGGGCTCAATTTTGTCTCGAATGAACTGAAGTTGGAAAACACTTGGCCTGCTAGAAGCATGACAAGTTCCCAGACCTATTCACAGAAGACTCACTAACCAGTACCAGGACCAGAGAGCACAGTTAGCTGAGCCATCATGTGAATTTCTGCTCTGTACTAAAGGGATTTCTTGTGAACACAGTGTCTCTACCATCTCTGCTCTCCTACTTTCTGCAAACTGCTGGATATACAGGGAGACTGGGACCCAAAATAAAGATTGAGCATTTTGCTAATCATTAGAAAGAAACAGATAAGTCAGCCTCTTAACTGTAAGTATGCTTCATTACAATGAAGTCAACAGAGTACTACGCCATACCCATTAACAAGGCAGAACTTGGCCCACTGGGGTCTTTGAAAAAGTACACTTTGGTTTTCCAAGAAAATCTCGTAATTGGAATCAGAAAAGGCATACTACAGAATGACATATTCCATTGCCCCACTGCTGAAAGACTCCTCCTACCATAGGGTTATAAAAAGACTTTGCCAAATGAAAGAAATCAGCCGTGCTGTGATATGTCCTGGCACAGCTGATCCACTTCATTGAGCAAAACAAACTTCCCCCACTATCCTGCCCTTGATCTCATGGGACAATGGACGACGCGTTCCTCACTAGCAAAGGCACACCTAGAAATTCCCAGGGTGTGTCTCTGTAAGAGGAAAAAGCTGGACAGGTGCTCTTGAGGCTTGATGGTGTCCGGACAAATTTTAAGTGTATGCTGGTAACACAAGAGTTAAGTCTGATCATGCGCAGACAAGCAGACAAGGCCTATGGAAAATTCCACAGGGTGCCCAGCATGTGCCCCCTATGCGACCCTTGGCTTGTCAATCAAAGCTGACCTAGTTTTGATACAACATGCATGCTCAGTTCTGCTCAGCAGATGAAGTAATCTGACCAGACGCATGCTCAGTCCAAGGGCTGCATGACATAATCAGACTAGAAATTTCTTTAGAGAAGACAACCTGATTGGCTGCCCAGTTGTCATAGAGAGCTTGTGGGCCCCTCCCAAAGGGGAGTTAGTTAGTGAGAAAAGGTTGGCGAGAAAAGAGTTGGAGAGAGAGTTTTGGGGGGTTCTGACAGTGGTGCTGACAGGGAAGATTCGTCCTGAGAGCAGAGGCTGGCCTGACAGGGACTGCTCCTCAGGAGGGCTTTAAGCCCACTGGTCTCCTGTCCGAACCCTGAGAGGAGAGGCTGCTAATGCAGGGACTGCTCCTCAGGAGGGAGACCACGCTCGACCTACGAACAGATACTGCCTTAGCAGAGACTGTCTCACAGGAAGAGATCGAACTGATCCTGAGAGCAGAGGCTGCTGCTGCAGGGACTGCTCCTCAGGAGGGCTTTGGGCCCACTGGTCTCCTCACAGCCATGATTTTGCGATTTATTCGATTCGCCTTGATCTGATTATTCCGTATTGATCTCTGGCTAACGAACTAATTTCCGGCTTCAACCTCGACCATGATCCTGCATCTCGACCACTGGCTATGAAATCGTAACTTCGACCTCCACATCGACTTCGGCATCTTAACAACCACCCGTTTCGTCCACATTGGGCTGGCGTCACGACATTCTACGTGTTACAGTTCTGTTATTTGCCATCCCGATCAATGAGCTGTTGACCAGCCCTGGGATTATTGAGTTGGGCAGCCACCCCTAGCTCCGGCTAGAAAGCAAGGGCTCACTCGAGAACCCCGTGGGCCAACAGACCCCTTTGTTGTTTGTGTTCGTTTATTGCAACTGTAACTGAAGCAAGTTCCCTGCCTACGCTCCAGAAGCATAAGTAAATAAAATCCACTTTATTTGAAACCACACGACTCCGCGTACCGCTCAGACTCCTCGCCGCTAACCCTGCCTGTTTCATATCGAAACCCTCGGCCCACCGTGACCTTGGGGCCGCTGTTCCCCAACAGATGGGCCCAATCCTGTGCAAGAATTCCTGGGGCGTGCAGGATTGGAACCACTGAGTCCCACAAGTACCTGTCTGGGGCAGTTGGCGAGCACAGGCAGCTTCAGGCTACCTGTGTTCTTCCTCCATAAAGCTACCAGACGACACAATAAAGTGGCAGAAACTACCAC